GCGGAATTGAATAAAACATTGTGTACATTGTTATTAAGCGTTATTTATTACCTTTTTCTGAAAACGCCGGCTGTAGACGAGGACCAGAGAAACTTTCTCTTCAGGTTAGAGTTAACGTAGCTGCTCTACGCTAATTTTCAGTCATTTTAGCTCATTTTTGTACTGCGGGATGTCACTTTGAGGCAAGCTGAAGGTTTAAAGCACATTGGCATTCAGTTTCGATTCCATTTACGTGAAGTAAATTGAGGGGAATCTGTGCGGTAAAGCTAGCGTTACAGTATGTAGCAGAGAGAAGTAACAAGGGTAGTTTCTTAACAAACCTCTCTCTCTCTCTCTCTCTCTCTCTCTCTCTCTCTCTCTCTCTCTCTCTCTCTCTCTCTCAAGCCTGCATACTTTTTAAATGTGAACCCCAGTTTTCCAACGTATTTTTTCAAGCTGTTTAATGGTAAATTAGTCTTGTCTAATTCTCTCTCAGTTCCTTTACCAAAACGGCGATTATCGTCTTTTACACGTTACCATTGGGTTGTTTATCCATAATCGACGATATCTGATTACATCACCTTATTGACCAAGACTAGTCATAACTTTGGCTTCTCTGACTTTCCCTCAATTTACTTACATACTGATAAGGACATTTTTGCTTTCGTTATTGTTATTATTGTTATAGTTGTTGCTGTTGTTGTTAGTATTATTATTATACTCAGAGTTAAAAATGAAGTGGCATATCTTTAAATTCTCTGGTGTGATGAAGTTCCATCTATTTCATTTTGGTGGATATTTTCCCAAGAGAACAAAGCTGTAGGTACAAATGCACCGTAAAATAGGTTTTGTTTTGCAGACTAAATGAATTATTTAATCGGAGCAGCTTCACTGACACTCTGAGTTGTTCACTAGTAAATGGTGCGATGTTTTCTGTATGGCATATTAGTTCTACAGAAACGTGGTTTGTTTTGGCGTTTCAACCACAGACATGCGTCCTCTTCCTGCCACTTTCTCTTCTCTCTTTTGCGTGCAAAGTGAAAAAGATAGAGAAGGGTGTCGCCATGTCTTCAACATGCTTTCTCAGAAATGACTGTGGTAGCTTCTGAGAAAGTGCTGCGCATACCCACATTCTACCTTGCACACACGGAGGGTTTTGCATATTCAGTCTTCAGCTTGCAGTTGCTTTTGAAGATTGAAATCCTTCTCAGCTGATGCACAGAGTAATTCACTTCTATGTGACGTTAGACATAATGTAAGAACATACCAGGGACACTTTGTGTCCAGAAAAACCCTGACACCCCTTTCTGATTAGTGACTTCAGCTACTTTAAGGTGCACCGATTGCTGACACGGATGTTCAGTTGCACTCTCAATAGAAAAACATCAACTCTGGAGCAGCTGCATATCGTCGCTATCCAAAGAAAAACATGTATCTCTCTTTTTTTCTGATTTTTACTCTTTTACGTCATTTGAATGTGGCATTGTCCTTTACATTGTGTGAAATTTTCATGATGACCAATAGAAATGCTCCAAATTTTTTTTTTAATAGAATCTCTTTACAATGACTTATATTCAAAGTTAATAACATTTTTGACCTCTTTCTGTAAGGTTAGCATTTTGGAGATGCATCGTTTTTCTTTGGACAGTGACAATATGAGCCTGAGGTCCCTAGGTTCAGTGCCAAGCGTTGGCTAGAGGGATATAAAGGAACTGCATTCTTTGGCATGATGGAGCACCTTTGGGATGAGTTTGAGTGGCATTTTTTTATTCAGAACTAATCATCTTAACATCAACCTGACCTCACTGATGCTCTTGCAGATGAATGCAATAAAATCCTCATAGCAATGTTCCAACATATAGTGTAAAGTGTAGTGTATAGTGTATTGATACCTTTAATTTCAGTAGAAACGTAGAATGAGGTGGTGTATAGAGATTTTGGACATGTGGTGTACATGACTCGTCTTGTATTTGGCCTAGAAACTTGATTTGTTATGAGGCACAATATGTTGAGATATTTGTTTTCCCAATACTGATCTCACAGAAAGCTGCAGGATGCAAATGAGACTTCAAGCCAGTCAAAATCTTCATGGCTATGTGCTGTGAACATTTTGACCAGTTACAGTTACAGATGAGGTTTTCTGTAATCCAACAAAAGTTACTTATATTGGTTAGAATAATGCAGGTTTGCAATGTTTAACCATTTAACCATTTCACATTATGGATTTTAGTATATTGTAAGCTGTATATCTTGTCCATATTATACATTCTTAGCTCATTGATTATGTCAGTTGATCTTCTTTTTGGGCTGTTTAGTATGTCCTAGGCCTACCAACTACTAATTTATAGATTCACATATGGACATGAATGGGCTAACATCATGTAACTACACAGTGCTCAACAGGTGAAAATGCACTGGACTACCTCTCAGTCCAGCATGTCTGACATAATTGCAACTCATGATCGACAGAAAACAGTCATTTTTGTGTTTCCTTGTCTTGGTCAGTCCTTTGCTCGTCTTGGACTCGGGTGTTAGCGAGGGGCTTCTGAAACTTTCCCTTTTCTGGTCGGTTTGAGAGCATCTTGTGAATTTTTGAGTCTTGTTTTGAGTAGTTAACATGTTGCTTCACATTTTTCATTTGTCCATGTGTGCTTCTTGGTAGGGATGCTTGATTTTGGCAAAAATCATAATCACGCTCATTTTGGTCAATATTGATCATGACTATTTAACACGATCACTCATTGACTTTGAAAATATCATGCATTGATTGAACTTGAAAAAAAAAACTTTAACAGACTGAATTTCAGATGATTAAACAAATTGGTCATATTGCCGTGTAACAAATCATGCACAGTATTTGCTGTTGTTCCTCATTTGACTCCTTAAAACCAAAGTGTTTCCAAGCAGCTGACTTGGTTTTACCTTTCTTCTAGGGATGCAATATGCAGATGTATTTGTAATTCAAAAAAATGTCCCCCCAAAAACAAACTTGCTTGTTTACCTGCCACATGTAGCTATCTTAGACCTTGAATAAATTATTAAAAATAATATAATACAAAAGTGCAAGAGGTATATCACTGGTTGCACATGTGCATTTGGCAAACACGTGTTATCAAGGCTCATAATGGTAAAAGTAAATAAAAAATGTGTGGACTGCATCTTAATATCAAACTACCTGAGCTTTACAAGTTCGTTTACAGCAGATCCTGTGTCTTAGTATATAAAGTGTGGCTCCTTCCTTGTGGTTGAAATGAGTGAGAGGGAGGATGAGGGAGGTTTTCTAACGTGGCTCAGTCACTCCAGTAAACTCCAGGAATCCAGGACTCTCTATGACTGACTAGCTATTAGAAGCAAAACTTCCCTGTGTAGTTCTTGTTTGGCTCGTTCACAATCGGCACTTGGCGGCTGTTTGAATCCTGTGTGGAGAAGTAGCTTCTGTGAATTGTGTTTTCTCCTCATGCAGGTAACTGAGACATTCGGGTTAATTCTTACATCCGATTCAAATTCACGGTCCCTTCACAAATCACGCCCTTGGGTGCGCATTCACTGAACAGAAGTCAACAGCAAGCAACACTGGAACTACAGGAAGCGAAAAAGTTCAAGAAACGTTAACCCTACACAACTGTTTGTTATTGATTGTGTTAACCTTTTAGCTGTACAGCCTTTCAGCCTTTCTTGTAGTTCCAGTCTTGCTTGGCGATTTGTGAAGTGGAACGTGAATTTGAGGGAGAGCTGACAACACTGGCGTACTGTCAACATTCAGTCCACCACTCATTGCCCATCATAATAGTAATAATAATGAACCAAAGTGTTTCCAAACAAGAGATTACTGTGATTCAATTCGCTTCTTCCAGCTAAAGCTCATTTTCAAACATCTTGGCTAATCAACCATCCAAGGTAGAAAGCTGAAGTTAGCTTCTTATCCGAATTCTCCCCCAGGCATCTGAGTAGAACTAGTCTGCCATTTAAGGTGGGACAGAAAATTCAAGTAAGTTGGCAAATAAGACGCTAACTTCAGCTTGGTCCAAGGGTAACAAAACCAGTTCTTCAGTTCGTGTTTACAGTACAGCTGTTAAATAGAACTATACAAACCATTGTCATGCATTTTATAGCATGAAATCTAGCTGTATTGGATACACAGCACATACGGCACATCTTGTGACCCCCCTATCGGAAAAAATTAGAGCATCAGTGCGAAACGGACTGCGGCACAGTAATAATTTTGCCTACCTGTTTTCAGAATCATTGGAATGCCAGAATCAAAATCAAAAACAAAATTCGATTAATCGCCCAGCCCATTGTTGGTTTCATTCTGTGTTCTTTGGCATCTAAAACGTTTACAAAGGCGTCTATAAAAGCTCTGTGATGTTCGTGTTTATTTAAGATAGAACAGCCTGGTTCAAATACCACAGTGTAGATGTTTCTCTGATCTGCAGGCAAAGTCAGAAAGTGTCATTAGGCTAGCTGTTGAGTTGAATAAGGGCTGAAACACTTTGGTCCTACATGTAGGATATTCCCTCTGTTTGTTTCCCTGTCTCACTGTCCCTCTTTCACTCTCTCCCTCTTCCTGGCCCATGGCTTTACCGGTAGAACTAATGAGATTTAAGTTGGCTGTGTCAGTGTTGCGAATGCCTAGCCTTATTAGAAGAAGTACATAAACATAAATGTCTGACTGCATCTCTTCATGCTTTGAAATTGAGATTTCTTGGTCATTTTTTCCGGACTTTGTGGGTAACTTTTCAGCCCATTCATTTTGTCTGCTTTTTTTAGAGCAGTTTAGCAAAACCAGAGGAAAAAAAACAGGTTATCCTACCAAAATATGACCTATAAAATTGTGCTGACTTTGTAAAGTGCTTCTTTCAAAAGCTTAATATTTGTTTATTTATTAATGTGGTTGTTAAACTGAAAGAGCAAAATCATTTAATTTTGGTTGCTCTGTTATGATTAGGGTTAGAAAATTCTCATTACTCAAACATTGCATGTAGTGTAACAAACATTTGTGTGTTTTTGTGTGTGTGCAGGAGCTGACTGATCTGGGTCGGGACCCTCCAGCACAGTGTTCTGCAGGACCAGTGGGTGATGACTGTGAGTGCCATTCTCTTCACTTTAACTTATTGTACTTCATCCTGTTCTCTGATGCTGTCCGCCTTCAGCATGTTCACTTTTAAACACAAATATGGACGCTTGCCTGGGGCAGATGTCATCAGATCAGGTTATCCTGCTCCTGAGGTGGACGATTCATGATGAGACCTCGCTGTAGCGAGGATCTAATGCAGAGAGCAGATCTGTCAGCGTTCAGCATTGAAACAGCTGACACATTTAAAAGTTCAAGTGATGCAATATCCACACGCATCCAGTGCAGTGGCTGGGCGTGGATGCATTGTATCTTCCTTAGATCAACGTCAGAATTACAAATGAATTGACCCACACAAGTGTGTTCTTTTGTAGCTCTTTTTTTGCTAGGCTGGACAAGCTTTAAATTAAATTGTATTTTCTAAAAACTTTAAACCAAAGTATCTATAATGTTAGTAGTTAATTATTTTATGGATTCTTATTAAAGCTGTACGGCAGGGTGAGGACCTTTCCAGTCTGGTGTGACTGAACGTGAAATGTATTATTTGATATTAACGCACTAGAGATTTAGTTATTTTGACCAGAAATTTATTGCAACAATTTCTCAATAAATCAAATGAGATTTTCTGTTCTGTGCAACCAAGCTAAAATGCTACGAAACAACGCCTCTGTGGGCAGAGCATGGACATGTCAGTTGGTCCATAGTGGTGGAAAAGCCTTGCTTTTACTCTGGGAACACCACCCTGTGGAATTTGTGTATTCTGTTGCATGTTCACACCCAAATTATTGATTTTTAAATGATTGTAATCAAATGAATAGATGTAGCTTTGATTTTATTAGAAGACTTCACCTTGATATATTGATCTCTTTCTCACTATGACTTGTTTTCTGTCCTGCAGTGTTTCATTGGCAAGCAACAATTATGGGACCTGTAAGTATGCAAATGTACATGCATCCACATGACGGAAGTGCTCATCATTTTCATATGTCAATGAATGCACCTGTGTTGATGTGGCCAGTTTTGGCATGCTGACCTTTCTCCTGATGTTTGTGGTTTGCAGAACGACAGTCCGTATCAAGGGGGTGTGTTTTTCTTGACCATTCATTTTCCTACAGACTACCCTTTCAAACCACCTAAGGTACGAAGCCAGCATCTGCCTGTTAAAGGCACTTTGCAGTTTTTAGAATTTCATCAACATGAGATTTTTCACTTTTTTCCAGGGCCTTTCCCTCAAGAGTGACATCAGTCTTATAATGGGGGTTATTAATTAGAACTGGGCTGAGATTAAGGCTGCAGTTAATACATGTCCATTGTGTAAACAGGTTGACTGTTGGGACACACAGGCCCCAGAAATAGTTATATACCACTCGTTAGCTTTTCTCCCTCACTGGTTTTAAAGCACATGAGTGATCCTGTATTAAATCATATGTGAGTCAAGGTTGATGGTATTTGCTGTGCTGCATTTTATGAGGATATGCATGTTTGTCTTTGGATTATAAATAGTAATATGTGATTATAAATAGTAATGTTCTATACCTTTTTCACACAGGTTGCATTCACCACAAGAATTTATCACCCAAATATTAACAGTAATGGCAGCATCTGTCTGGATATTCTAAGATCACAGTGGTCACCAGCATTAACTATTTCTAAAGGTAAGGCAAGACTTCTATTGTATTGCACCTTGTATCAAAGCTCCTTTATTGACCAAACTCACATGCTAATGCAAAAGACATATAAGGAAAATTGCATAAACATGTATGACCTCACTGTGTGTACATATTTAGCCTTTGCAGATATGTAGGTATAAAACAGTTCATACTGATGCATGTGGATTTAGAAGCCTTTCAAAGAATTATGGCCTATGTTCTGTTGCAGTTCTCTTGTCCATCTGCTCCCTGTTATGTGATCCCAACCCAGATGACCCGCTAGTGCCAGAGATAGCTCGCATATATAAAACAGACAATGAAAAGTAAGTATCTCATCAGATGCTTTGGCTTGATTAACAACAATTAGAGTACTCAAACATGAGGTAACAGTATTGTTACTAAATTTTGTTAATGGTTCGTGTTTTGGTGAGCTTGTGAAGTTTTGATTGGTATTTTGAGAAAATCTTTGCAGTTTCAGGAGGTAAAACAATTGGAGATCTGTGTAGGAGGGAAAAGCTAGCTGACCTCTGGCTTTTCCCAGTGGGCTCTGACCTGTGTGCTTCAGTGCCTGTTGCCTTTCCACAGTCACCTCTCTGCCTCAACCAGGCTCCTCTAGTGCGGAGGTTTCAAGCTTGTGACCCCCTTCTGCATCAGCAAGCTTCACTGAGCCAGACACAGCTAAAGTTATGATCAGCTCACTCAAAAAACACTCTGACAAATACTGGTGGACAGAGGCTGGGCTGACCATGTCCATAAAATTGCCTCAACAGCATGCTTGGGTGGTAACATTAATTATGCCATTCTTTTCCTCAATCTAGTATTAGCGGCAATGGTTTGAACTTTGAACTGTTGTTGCATCAGTATGCTAGGTTGCAAAACAAGCCTTTTGCTCAATCACAAGGAGGGAGAATACTAGCCGTTCACTCACAAAAGCTAAAACCAGTAGAACAGTTAGCATAGTTAGCTGGCACAAGCTGTTTTCAGTGTTTCAGAAATTATGATGAATTAAAAAAGACATGAGTTTGAGTAAAACATCCTGCAGCAAGATAAGGACACACATCCTCTACCATGTGGAATTCGTTCAGTTTTCCTAAATCAGAATAAGCCTTTTACTCATAGTGAGTGATGAAAAACATATTGTGATATGATTTTTGGTCATATTGCCCAGTCTTACTCAGGATTCACTCCTAGAAATACAGCTGTACCAGCCTTGATTCACATTAAAGCACACTGATGCTTCAGCCCAATGGCAAAGCCCCGATTTGATTACTTTGCACTAGTTGCAGATAAAGTCTCACTGATGAGCCAGGCCAATACCCCTCCCTCAAGCATGACTGGCCAGAGAGTAGAAAGAGAAGTATGCCATGCTCTAGGAATAAGACTAAGCATCATAGAAGATCTTATCGTGTATAAGAGAGGGTGTGTTTGAAAGGAAATTCAAAGCTGGTTTCTTGGACGTGGATTAAATGTACACTGTTAGAAATAAAGGTTGTGTGCAGGTACATTTTTCATTCATCAAGGTACAATCTAAATGTACCCTCACAGGTACAACAGTGGTTTTAAGTTCCAGCCTTAAATAAGTTTTTCCCCAGTGAAAAGTACGTATTTGTACCTTTTCATAATCTGATGTTTTAAAACAGAACAATGAAATAAAAGCCTGCAGATGAGACGGGTTGTGTGGAGTCAGTACAGCTTAGAAAATATAATTTCAATTGATTATTTATGTACAATTATGTTCTCTGACTAAAGGTACTGAGATGTACCCTTGAGGGGACCACCCCACTGACAAGAGGGGTGCTGCCCCAGTGACAGTTTAGTACCTTTTTTTTTTTTTTTCGGAGGGTGTAGTTTTAGGACTAAATTGAAAAGCCAATGGCGTTTAACTATTACAAAATCTGAAATAGTGCTTAAATACAAATAAACAACAGATATCTCAGTCTTAAATAATATAATGTAGCCCCGGGGCAGAGCTAGGCTACTTTGTGCTTTGGGTTTCTGTGTATCGCCTCTTTTTTTTTCGTTAATTTTCTTTTTTTTTCTTTTTTTTTTTATTAAAAATATTTGCTAACGTTATTCTCATGGTAAAGGGTAGGTTTGGATGCATTTTATATCTTTTTGTGATATTTAACATGACTGTTTGTTCAGATTCACAAGTTCAGCCTAAATTGTTATTGTATGATTAAACAAAGTGCGCCTCATTGAGCTTGGACAGTGCCACACCTGTCTGTTTTGCCCTATCATCGGGAGATTTTGGGTTTAAATCCGATCCCAAATAATAGCGAATAATAATAGGGCATTAATTATTTTCATCTTACTGGTAGTTGGTCAGTAATATCAGCCTAATGATATCAGTCAGGCCCTAATGACGATACACATCACAAATTATTGCAAATTGCAGTGGGAACGTGTGGTGGTGACTCCCACACCTAACATCTTGGTTGCTTAACTTTGTTAAAATGCGCAGGTTCTTGTAGCACTTAGGTAGCCAGGGCGTAAGCGGAAATGGGTATGCTGTGTAACGAAGATCGAGGATGCTTTCAGTTTTGACCTTGATGATTTTGCAGTGTTTGTGTTGGCTTGAGTACAGTTGGCAGAGCAGTGCTTGCTTGCCCAGCATGTGACATTGCATTAGCAGTCCTCTGCACCACTGTTAATTTTCTCTCTCTCTCTCTCTCTCTCTCTCTCTCTCTCTCTCTCTCTCTCTCTCTCTCTCTCTCTCATATCTGATCATTTCCAGGTACAACAGAATAGCTCGGGAATGGACTCAAAAGTATGCCATGTGATACCCGAAGAAATGTCACCCCAACAAATCTGCATTATAGCTGGAAAAAACATCAATAACTGGGTATCCCTTTTTCCCCCCCTTTCAGTGAGTTGGCACTTCTCCCTGTCCCTGACCAAACTAGTTTTTTGCTCAGTTGTTTTCTGTCCCTTTTCAAATTTTCACGTGCTGCAAAGAAGGGGGATGTCATAGCGAGATCACGTTTTATTCATCGTTAGAAGAAGCCCTTGGGTCTGAACTATGAAGCATGTATTAAACTCAAGGACCCCAGCCACTTTGTATTGAGGTTTAAAAAATAATAAATAAATAAAGCAAATAAATAGAGTATCAACTGCTTTTAACTCACGCCACATACTGGAGGTGCTATCAAGAAAATAAAAAAATAAAGAAATACAAAGAACGGTGGTCCTTCGTGAGCGATCTGTTGCTGGGTTGGCCTTCACATTTTTTATAAGCTTTTACGATAGCAATGATACAGTCTGTGAAAAAATAATACTCTTGCTTATAACTGACTGTTTCTATGGGCAGAATTAGTCCCATGAGTACATCAGCAGTTATGAAGAATATAAGATCTATTTTATGCATGTTCATAGGAAAATAACAGTAAATCGGTGGTCTGCTGAAAATGGCTATTTGCCGACAGTGTTAAGCAAACACACGTGTCCACTTAACGGAGTTTGGAAACTTTATTTTGTTACTCCTTTTTCCTGGCTGTTTTCATTTTGTTTTTTTTTTTCTGTTGTTTATAGAACGAGGAGCTATTAGTTTATCTGTCTTCCTCCACACTGTTTGCCTGTTGCACTGAATATATGATTCGAAGCTCTTGATGGATGACCGGTCAACTAATAGCTCTACTAGCTGTTGATTTTTGTTTTCTCAATAAAGTTCGTAAAATTAGCGCTCAGCGTATGTGTGGTATGTTCTGCATGAGCTTTGTGTTGAGTGGTAAATGGTAGTCAGCTATTATTCACAGTAATCATGTGACAAGAAATCAATATAAATAGATATTCAGTTTTTAATCATATTTGCTTGTTTTTTTTTTGTTTTTGTTTTTTTAACCCTGTGGTTCATTCTTGTTCCCAAAATACTTTAACACTGCGAGTAAACTATCAGTTTGCTGTCTAGTTTAACATAAGTGATTTTCAAACGTTTGGACGCTATTGGATGTCTTTCCCGGATACAATCCAACAGTATTTTGATTATCCGATCTTCTAACACAAGCAAACGTCCAAAAATGTTAAATAAAATTATCTAAATATAATAAAATTACCTCTTATAATTTACATTAACATTTTAACACTTTTGTTTGCACACAAAGGATCTTGAGAAGTGTTCATTGAAGCTGACATGAAATGACTGTTTTATTTTTGTTTTATTTTTGTTTTATTTTGCTTTTTTCATGAAATACACAAAAATACAAACACTTCCACTGTGAGAAGACAGTGCTATGGATCTGAAAGGATGTGTAGCTGTCAAGAAGCCTCACTGAGAAAAGGAAATGGGCAAAAAAGTTGCTGGTGTTCTCAGAACAATGGACTGACCACACCAGAATCCAGACCTCAATGTAACATGTATGTAACACAATGTAAGTATTTGGGATTATTTGGATTGTGAGAAGCAAAAAATGTAACCAACTTCTAAGACTGAACTTTGGAGTTTTGGGGAAATAGCGCTGCAGATCTCTTTTTTTAAAAAATCGAAAGCAAGTCTCCTAAAATGAACGGAAGCTGTAAAGAAAGACAGAATGGACATGAAATACTGAAACATCTAATATTATTTTTAGTTCCTGGAGCTTTTTGACCTTTTTCCTGATGCTGAACAGTGAATAACTTAACCAGGACAGTAAAACGCAAACTGGGCTAAACAAAAAAAAAACATAGGAATGTAACACATAGGAAAACAGATGTTTACATTTCTCCACAGCAGACTTCATCCTTTTATCACTATTCTTTCTGAGAGCGCTATCTCAGTTTGAAGGACATTGTAAACACTCCAGGATCACCTTCCACAGCCAGATATTAAGCTTGGCCTTGGACTAAATACCACAGTGGGGATTTGCCAGTGAAGAATTCATTGTTAGGCTGCCATCAGGCCACAAACTCAATGAACCAACATGCAACAGGACCTCAGAAAGTGTGAACAAGTTTAATAGCCACAGGTCAAACAGCAACAGCTCTCAACAGGATGAGAACCATCAACAACTGCCGGACTATTAATAGTCCACCACAGTGATCTTCTTCCTCTTTTAACGTGTCTCCATTGTCCTGTCCTTGTAAGAGCTCCCCTTCTGTCCATTTGGTGCCATATACGTACATGACTACACAATGTTTGGATGATTTCTACTGTGGTTAAATGGACTGCGTAAGTGTTCAGTAATAAAAGCTACACCGTATGTTGTAAATGGGATCCTGCTATACACAGACATGTAAAAGTAGTATGTATTAAAAGACAATGTGCAACAGACTATTAAAGTTGAGCAATATAAAAAATACAAAGGTAAAAAAGTCAAAATGCTGTTTATGTGAATACAACCAATATATGTCTCACAAAAACTGGAAACCAAATTGGGATATTTTGTCCCTTTGTTTTATGATTACATTTGCAATTGTTCAGAGATCTTAAAGGGATGCTGCAGCCTAAATAAAAAACAGTACAGTCGTTACAGGTGTTGCAGACATGCCTTCTCTCTTCTTACAGCTGCAGCGGTCATCTCTGAAGTGAGATTTCCTGGTTTAAAGACTAGGAGTCGCCCCCTTTTGATGATGTATCTTGAAGGTGAAAGTACATTTTTGAAAGACTAGTGCTTTGTGGTGAATACTTGAGGATGGGTTGTTTTTCTTTTCGCAAGCTGGCTAAATTTTTCCTTTAACACAAAAATGTTTGAAGACCGGTTGAGGTTAGCGCTGTATTGCTAATGCTAACCACATTAACCTGTAGATCAGTGGCTACTGGACTGTTCCCAATGATTGTGGTGTCTGGGTACGGAAGACGGTGGGACGCTGATGGGCGAAAATACAAAAATGATACATCACGAATTCTGACGGATGATACTGAGGGATGCAGTTCTGCCCTACAGTATATTGCCTAACATAAACAATGTATTAAATGCTAGTTTTAGGCTGGAACACCCCTTTGAACATGGTCTACAGTCAACATAAGAATGTTTTGTAGATCTGTGATTTTGTTGTGTGTGTGTGTGTGTTTATATATCGCTGTTGTCGGATGAAAACCTCATATCTCCAAAATGGTAACTTTACAGAAAAAGAAAAAAATCTACTTTACTTTTAATGCAAGTCAATGGAACCAGACGTTTTTTGAAGTCATTGTGGGCAACAGGCATTTTCAAATTATGTCAAAAACAGAAAAACGACAAAAGTGGAGATACAAGGTTTTCTTCCGACAGCAGATATACACACACACACGTATGCATGTCTAAAAGTTTGTCAACACCATTTCTACTGAAATGAATTTAATAAATTTAATTAATAGGGAGTTTGTCCCCCTTTGCTGCAGTAACAGTCTTTACTCTTCTGGGAAAGCTTTATTCTGGATGTACTAGATATACTAGATGTTAGATTGTGATTGATCTCTCTTCTGATTGGCTGCCCTCGATTGTGAACTCAAATTCAAAAAGCAGTCCAGGCTGAAACACTCTTTATTACTTTATCGTAAATGGGTGGAACTAAACCACTGAAGGCCAAAGAGGCTGATGTAATGTAAATGTTTTGGATTTCATGACATCATAAAAAGGAGCTGTTTTCTGGAGGTTCATTTTCATTTGGGGGCTGTATGGCCTCGAGAATGCGTGGTATATTTTGAGACTTGGACTATGTTTACAAAGATTTCAAAAAGTAAGAAGGGCCTGGGTTCGATGCCCCAGTCGGGTTATCCAGGGTCCTTTCTGTGCGGAGTTTGCATGTTCTCCCCATGTCTGCTTGGGTTTCCTCTGGGTGCTCCGGTTTCCTCCCACAGTCCGAAGACGTGCAGTCAGACCAATTGGAGATGCTAAATTGGCCCTAGCTATGAATGTATATGACTGTGTGTCTGCCCTGTGACGGACTGGCGACCTGTCCAGGGTGTTTCCTGCCTTCAGCCCAGTAACCACTGGGATAGACTTCAGGACCCCCCACAGCCCAGGAGGATAAGTGGCCTAGATAACGTGTGTGTGTGTGTGTGAGAGAGAGAGAGAGAGAGAGAGAGAGAGAGAGAGATCTTTTAATACAAAGGTGATGGTAGTTTAACAAGGGGGGGGGTCATTTTTGTTTTCATTTTTTCTTGCCATCTGCCTTACATTCCCCTTAAAATCGAGCCTTGAACATGCTTAAAGAGAGTCAGAGAGTGTTTTATTCTTAATGATAATACAAATCCATTCACTGACCCCCAAAACCCTTTTGAAAACATTTAACCAGTAGTAAACTTTAATGAAGATCTTTGTTACGTCATGGAATGTTTGACAGAAAGATATTGGTTTCTGAGAAACTAATGGTCAACTTTGTGTGCGGAAAGCACAGATCAGCGCACAAAGTGAGTGAATGCAAGACTGCAAAGAAACCCAACAGCCGTCTTTTGAAAGAATATTTTGCCAGAAAGAATATGACAGCCTTACAATAGTCTTTAAAAAAAAAGCCACTTGGTTTGACATTTTCTTTCATAACACTTTGAGAAAGTATAGCACAAATGTCCAAAAACTTTTTTTGGGACTACTGTATTAAAGTGGAACTCCATGCAGTTTTAAAAAAATACCTTAATAAATCAGTCCTTGACATGTAAACAGTCATTCAGAGTGGTTTGATTTGAAATTGTTTGCTGCAGAGAAACTTACAGACTCTCATTTCTTTACAGTGGTGGTGATAGGAACCAGGGGTCACAATGTCCACACACAAATATAGCCTTTTTATTTATTATCCGTAACCACCTGTGAACCTACACATGCCTTCTTAGTTTTCATATGTAATGCTGATGATGGTAAAATAGGCATAAATCTGAAAAAAATATATATATGTGTTCTTCTGGGACTATTTTGCCTTACAGCACTCTGCATGTACCATAATGAATGGATGAAATAAATGGATTTTCAAAACTATCACAATGTGTCAGACATCAGGCAGCATCTCCAATCAGCTTTCAGAGGCATTAAACACTTCAGACGTCTGGTTTCTGTCGCCACCACTGTGAGCAATTCTGACTCTCTAGAACGGGACAGTTCACATCAAACCACTCTGAATGACTTTACATCTCAGCCATTTAATTATATAGATTTTTTTATATCGATGTGGTTTCCCTTTTAGTAAGCGCTGAAGTGTTGTTACCAGCACTGGCCACCAGGTGGCCTCCAGTCAAGGGGAGAAGCTGCCTTGCGTTACGTCACAGGGAATTTCCAGTAAGGAAGTGAACTTTCTATACAAACACATCGATCGGGGCTCCCAGCGGTGATCGATAAACCGATATCACCTCCGATCGGACTGAATTTCAATCCTAACGCCGCCGGAGCCCAATCTCGTCTAATGAGGAGGACGCGTTGAGGTTTGAGCGCTGTCTCCGTAATCAGCACACGATCTAATAGAGGGTCTATGGCGCCTTCAACTGCTGAATAAGAAGATCATTCTGAACTCTCTCTCGGACTGACAGCACACATTGATGTTGATCCCGTATAGCGGACAGTTATCGGTGAAGGTAAGTGGTCCAGACTTGCCTTTTTTGTTTAGCCGCCGTGCTGTTTTGCTACTGGTTGTAAAGGTCAGTGTTAGGATTATTTAACAGCACCTACTATCGACAGATTTTACCGATTCAAAAGACTCACTTTAGGCGCTGAACAGCAGGAGATTCGAGCCAAAACGCGGGGCGTGAGTTCAGACTACTGCTACTGAAAAACAGACTTAAAGGGGAATTCCATCGATTTGTCAGAATTTCCAGAACTTCTGGATCATTCACGAGGTAAACAAAGTCATTCAGAGTAATGAAAGCGAGTAGATAAACTTAGCCTTTCAGAATGATTCACAGTGCGGGTGATAGGAACCAGACGTCCAAAGTGTTTAAAACCTCTAAAAAGCTCACCTCACAAAAAGCTATTACTTTAGGTTTAAAACATATTTTTGTTTAACAGAAATTGATGGCTGATATGTACATGTGGTGCATTGGCAACATAGTAGGCAAATAAACCTATTTTGTCTACCGTTTTTCAGGTTAACAGGGTCGTTTAGGGCAGTGCTTCTCAGCCCTGGTCCTGGAGGCCCACTGTCCTGCACGTTTTAGTGCTTCTCCAGCTTAAACACACCTACTTTACCTCCATAATGGGCTGTTAATCAGTTGGATCAGGTGTGCTGGGAGCAGGGAAAACACCAAACAGTGCAGGGCAGTGGGCCTCCAGGATCAGGGTTGAGAAAAACACTGGTTTAGGATAGTGAATAAAATGGCTGTGTTTGTGCTGAAGGCTGTGTGATGCCTGGTTACCATCACCACCACTGTAAAGAAATCTGAGTCAGTACGTTTCTCTCCAAACAAGCGCCCCACATCAAAACTCTCTGCATGACTTTGTTCACATCTCAAAGGCTGAATTATTCAGAAGGTTTGAAAAATGACTGGAATTCCCCTTTAATGTTTCTCTGAAGTTTCTGAAGCTGTGGTCCCATCAGGGCGCTTTTAGTGGACCAGAGAGAAGCAGGTCAGCACACAGAGCAAGTCTACACGCCCAAATGTTGGCATTGGTGGGTCATTTTGTTCCCTACACTAAATGCCCGAGCTACAAAAATCATGAGAATGCCAAGATTTGCAATGAAGTTGGTCAGCTTGCTGTTCGAATTTCGCCGTTCCACCTTAAATGGTGCAGCAATTACGTTCTGGAACTGTTACAGAATGTAATTCGCCAGCTTTCTGGTTCGAGTTTCCCCGTTCCACCTTAAATGGTGCAGCAGTTACGTTCTCAAACTGTTACAGAATGTGATTACTGCGCCATTTAAGGTGGAACGGGGAAATTCGAACAAGACTCTGGCGAATAGGAAACCAACTAAAGCCTCGTGAATTTCCAATGCTCTGTATCACTGACCGAACCTAGAAACCTATCTCTTCTGCACTTGTGTGACCCAATTGTAGTGGCTGTATTTATGAAATACTGTGAAATAACAAAATGTTAGCATTACTGAAGCACATGAAATGAGTGGAAGTGTCTTAAAGGCATTTTCTCCACGACAGCGCGATAGTTCTGTGGCGTACAGTGATCACAATCTCAGGAAAAATTAAGTTAAATTCGTTCGCAGCGCCACTTCCTACTTCTGCACTGCGCTTTAGCATAGCAGGCTAACTAACACTGTCTCAGTGAACTCGAGGCCTTGGACGTGTTTTTTACAGTCTAGACACTTCAGCTAAACCTGGCGGGTGAGTAAAAGTGAAATAAGGGTCATATTAGCCTAAATAAGTGTGAAAAACGGAGTTTAACCAATGTACACGGCGGTAAACACGAAGCTTATTCGCCCGCTTCTGGTTCGAATTTTCCCGTTCCACCTTAAATGGTGCAGCAGTTCCATTCTGGCGCCTCAGAATGTAACTGCCAGAATGGAACTGCTGCGCCATTTAAGGTGGAACTGGAAAAAGTCGAACCAGAAGCTGTCGTGCAGTAAACATAGAGCTGTACGGCTGTGGAAGTGCCTTCACTATAAACAGGCAGTCAAATTTGTCTCATGCTTTCCGTCAGAATCTGTAAGTTTTGCTTGACATGTCCTGGATTCGCTTATAAACCGAAAGCCAGTGTCGGTTTAAGTTGTGTTTTATGAACTGTGTTTGTCATCATGTTAGCCCTTTCAAATCACGGTGGAGAACTTCTCTTCTTGAAGGGGAATTCCACCGATTACTCAAAATTTCTGCGGTATTTGTCATTCAAAGCGGTTTCACATGAAATGGTTCGATGTAGAGAAACGTACCTGTCAATAGTTCTTTACAGTGGTGGTGATCGGAACCAGGGGTCACCAGGTTTACAACATAAATATAGCCATTTTATTGACTAGCTAACCAGTCATTCTGGTAAGCTGATAATGGTAAAACAGTGATCTTTGGGCAATATTTTGCCTTTCAACACTCTGCATGTGTCCCTCCATCATGCATGTATTTCAACAAAGTATATTTAAGGCCCAAACTTGTGAAACAATGTCTCAGGCATCAGACAATATATTCATAATACATTTCACGTAATGACTTTTTGTGAGGGAGCCTTCAGTGGCAGTTCAACTCTTTAGACGTCTGGTTCCTATCACCACTGCTGTAAGTCTTTCCAGAGAGGAGCATTCAATGTCCAACCACTCTGAGCCACTTTGTTTACTTTTTAACGATTAAATTATGCATGAATTTTCAATGCAAAGGTGGAATTCCCCTTTAAGCCTTTCAGACATGTCTTACACTATAATAAGTGTAGTATAATATGTAAAAAGTGAGATGTTCATCCTGCGGTCTGCCATAACATGGACAGTTGATATCAGTCAAATCCTTTATTGATACGCTCTTATATTAAAAAGGAGTAATCCTCTGCTACTGTAACATATGCTAATATTACCATGCAGCCCTAAGAAGTAGAATCATGCTTTCTTTTTCCTTTGACAGGAACCATGACGGAAGAGGATCCTTATCTTGCGCATCAAGAGGTGGGAACTAAATCTGTAGACTGTGCATAGTATTGTGCAGCATTAACCACTAGTAGAAAAAGTGCTTTTTGTAAAGATGCTTGTTTTTTAGATTGTGAATGTAGTGCTTTTTAGAATGGAAGCTCTTTTACTCTGCAGGGCATTAGGCTGTTGCGCACTTTGCATATAATTCATTGTGCATGAATGGCCAAAAGGAGTATTTGCATCAGAGATCACTTAAATAGTAGATATACCACATTTAAAAAGTCTAATGGTGAGAATAATAACCTCATCGCACAGGAAGCGTCTCTTAGAAAGCTGCCAAGGTTTGCATTTTTTTTTTCTGCCTCTTGTGGTTGATGCAGCTTACCTTCAGCTCGACATCAAAGAATAGTCGAGCTCCAGATCCTGGGGTATGGCCTGCATGCAGAGAGCTCAGAAAAAAAAGAACGTGACTGCAGTTTTGAACATTTTTACAGCTCTGGTCTCATTGCGTGTGCTTCGATTCTGTTTTTTGCTGCTTGTTGGCACCTGCCTGGGCACAGCCAGTGACGAAATGTCGCATATTGCAAATCCTGAGATGGAAAAACTGTTTATCGATCCACTAAAGTGAATAAAGTCAGGGCTTTTCTGTATGTAATTCTGTATAGTGCTGTGCACTCGCATCAGATTTTTTTCTGCCCATCGGCCTGCTCAAAGGGGAATTCCTCAGATTTTTGCTAATTTTGGCGTTAATTAGTCATTAATATGTCATCAAAGTCATTCAGAGTTGTTTGATGTGTAATTTTCTATTCTAAAGAAACACACCCAGTCAGCATTGTTCACAGTGGTGGTGATAGGAACCGCACGTCTGAATTGAAAAGCTATTTCCCAGAAAACTGTTGCATTAAATTATGTCCAATATGCTGTATTTATGCTGTAGACATCGAGACCCCTGGATCATCACCACTGTAAAGAAATCTGAGTCTGTAAGTGTTTCTACAGTGAACCATTTCACATCAAACAACTCTGAATGACGTTATTTACATACGAACGAACAAATTATGCAGAAATGTAGCCCTTTAAAAGCATGTATTTGGGGAATTTGGAAGATTTTTTTTTTTTCGAAATTTCTGCATAACTCAATGGTTAAGGTGCAAAGTCGTTCAGTGTAGTTTGATGTGAAATGCTGCATTGTAGAGAAACTTACCAACTTTACAGTGGTGGTGTTGGGAACCAGGGGTCACGATGTCTGCAAAGCAAATGTAGCCAGTTTATTTACTATCCAAAACCACCAGTGAAAATACACACGCAGAATTTGTAATGTTGATTAAGGGGAAAATCAATTTTGCATACATGTACATCTCTGCTATAAACAAATAAAAACAAAAATGTTTAAGGCCAAAACCTTCATTTCCAAACCATCATAAAACAATGTCTCAGGCCTCAGACAGCATATTTCATGTAATAACTTTCTATGAGAAGGCTTTTAGAGGTATTAAACTCTTCAGACGTCTGGTTCCTTTCACCACCGCTGTGAACTGGGTGTGTGAGTTTCTCTAGAATGGCGTACTTCACATCAAACCTCTCTGAATGACTTTACGTCTTAGCCATTTAAGTATGCAGACATTTTGGGGGTAAAGAGTTCCCCTTTAAAACATCATCTGTCTCCCACTTATTTTCATAGTAATGTTGTGCAGCAGTTGCATGCAATACAGCTCCTCAAAAAACCTTCTCAAATTTTGCGTATCTTATTTTTGCATCGTTTTGAACTTCTAAACTCTTGAGTCAACAGGATCACTTAAAATGGCTAAACACTTTCAAATGAATCAATATTGAAACAAAATAACTCATTGTTTCTTTGTAATTACAAGGTTTCTGCTGGAAAGCTAGTGAAATGTTAATGTATTGCTGATCTAATATCATGTTTTTTTTTTCATCTCTGTTTAGTTCTTAGACTTTGGGCAACCATGGATTCACGCAGTGGACCCACATTTCCCACCTATTCCACACACAAACACACCAAGAATAGGTAAGAGTGCAGTACTCCCAAGCAGAGCATGAATGAGCAACGAGCCACGCCGTAATCAAGTACTCTACTAGCGGACCTAAAATTAGTTCTAGTTGTAAAAGCTCCCATATATGGGTATTTTGACTAATTGGCCAACTCGGAAAAAGTCGATATAGGAAGAACCAGACGAGCTGCAGTGACACATGCTGCTTAACGCCTTTTGTTTGATATTTGAGGCAACTCCCAGAGCAAGGTGTGACAGCTCCTTCTTGTTTTTCTGTGTGTGAAATTTCACTCTCACCAGGGCCCATACTGTTTATCAGTTTCAGCAGCTTATATGTTCCATGAGCTTATCAGCACTTAGAACAGCCCCAGTATTTATAAGAAGCTTGTTGGTGCTGTCGGAACAGAACCTCTTATCTCCAGAAGATGGAAAAAATGGCATTACCTTTTAATGGAAGTCAATGAAAAGGTATTTTATTCCAAGTAATTTTGGACCATTGCTATAAGTCCATTCAAAGATATAAGACAACAGCGTTATATTACATTATAATGAATAGATGCCTCTGATATAATAAGTATAAAGAATGTCTGAGCAGTGTAATAGTTTGGTGCACTAGCGAAAAGGATTCTATGGAGTACCAATGTTCTTTGACTTGCAACACTAGTGGCGCTACATAAAACCATTTTCAGAAGGTTCTTTGAAGAACCACATACAAGTTTTCCATCATGCAGAAGAACCATTTAAACATTCAAATGGCTCTTTGTATTGTTGTTGTATATGTAGCCTAACGTTTCCCTATACTAAAGGACCTTTCAAGAACCCTTTTTTAAGCATCTACTACAATATTCACTTTGTTTAAGACTTTCTGCTATTTGTGTTTGACAGTCGAGAATCATTTGATAGTTCACAGTTGTCAGCTTACAGTCCTACCAGTCATTAATACATTGAGTGCGTTTACGTGCACTAAATGATCCAATAACTGCAGAAAATCAGATTTTGTCTAATCCGATCAATGCGTTTACATGCATTCGAGTAATCAGATAATGGGGAAACTCCGGGTCTACGTGAGTCAGACAGTAATCAGTCTCGCGGCAAAGCTGCTCGCTTATTTCCGGTACAGCAGTCTGTTTTCCCACATGTGCAGACTGAGAAACCCGAAAGAAATCAGAGTAAGTGTTTACATGCACTGAGAAATCTGATTACTGAACTAAAATCCAGCTCTCTTCTTAATCGGATTTCTAGACCTTATTCCAGTCTTAGAAATTGGCGTATGTGGTTTACATGAACCATTTGAATAATCAGATAACTGCAGGAATCCTATTATGATCGGATTATTAAGTGCATATAAACACTCACTGTTTAACAAAACCACTAGATTTTGCTTTATCTTTAACTATAGTTACATCAGCCAGTATTGTCGATTATCAGAAATGTTGGCGGCTTAATATCGGTATTGATATTGGGAAATTTTCATATCAGCCAGACCGTAACTGTTACCATTATTGAAATGTCCTTGTCCCTGTAACTTAAATGTGAGTGAACATGGCTAAACTGCTGTAAGCTGTATAGGTAGATATATGTAAAATGCATTGGTTTTGTGACGTCACGAAAACAAGGAATTCAAAAGCAGGCTGTTTTTGCAGCTTCCATACATGGACTGGAGATGGTATTGTTTTTAAGCTTTAATGAAGGTTTTCATGATATTGGCCCTTTAAAATGGCCATCTTGCAAAGTTTAGCCTCGTAAATAAAACATTATATATAAGTGGTCAAGCTGCTTGAGGCTTTCGGGCAGCGCTTCACTTTTGGCTAATCATAGTAGCTTTAGCAGCCGTAGCTAAACTGCTACACTGTTCTTGAGTACCTGCAGTGTTTATAGGTGCTGTCAGTTTGCTGTGCGTATTGTGTAAGATCTGTTCTATATAATGTAAGTCTATACAGAGGTTGCTTAGTATTTATCTTGGCAGGTGTCTGTAAAGGATGTATACTTAAGGTTAAGTGAGTAGTGATGCCTTTCTTTGCATAGTGTTCTGCTGTTTATACAAGCTGTAGGTCTTGTAAAGGTCTCTTAAACATGATGGCTGCAATGATTAGATGATGAAGTGGAAATGCATAGAAGTCAGTGTCAGTAATAGAGATGCGCTGGTTATACCGAGACATTTTTGTGGCTGATTCCAGTTTGGTTTCTTTACAGCCAAAGTGGGAGTTTTTCACCTGATGTTTGTTAGCCTTTTTAACCTGAAGCTCACACTATGTGGGTTAAGTGAACACCTGACAAAGTAGCACATTTTCAGTTTTCATGAGCCAAAGTTGCAATACGAATAACGCCATTCGATCGATTCGAGGCCAAACTAGCGTTTTTATTTCATAAATTAAAAATCAACTGCTTGTTTAAAGAAATCAAATAAAGAGCTACATTGAAAGTAAGAGGTGACTGGCTATTTAGCGCAATGAGTCATAAGTCCTGTGTAAAAGTTAGAAACCACCATTCATTTATTTACTTTCCAGACAAAACAGCCATAAAGTACAAGTTATTAATTAAAGACATAAGATAATCCACTTGCATAAGGAAGAGGAAAGGCAAATGAAAGTAAGTGGAAAAAACAGGAGTTTCCAAAACATCCAAAAATTTTGTAGGAAAAATGAAAATCCTAACAACCACCTGGAAGACCAGATAGACCACCAAAACTGTCCCCGTCAGAACTGTCCACAATCAAGCTCCACTCTTGCTTCACTCTAGTTTCTGTCCATCCTTCCACTGTGAGAAGACAACTCAGTGCTAGGCGTCTGAAAGGATGTGTAGCTGTTGAGAAGCCACTAAGAAAAGGATATAGAAAACTTGCAAATGAAACAAAGACGTTGCTGGTGTTCTCAGAACAATGGACTGACCACCCCAGCGTCCAGACTTCACCGTCATTGAATGTGTTTGGGGTTACCTGGATTATGAGAAGCAGAAAATGCAACCAACTCCTAAGACTGAACTTTGCAGCGTGGAAAAATATCCCTGCAGGTTTCTTTGAAAGACTAAAGCAAGTCTCTGAAAAAGAATCGTAGAAGAGTGAACAGACTAAGGACTGAAAAATGGATGTTATATTTAGTTGTTGAGGCTTGTTGGATTTTCTGTTAAATATGTTTTGAATTTTTTTTCCTGAACTTGGCTGATTTCAATTGTGCATCACTTTATAAGTATTCTTGTTTCATTTATTCACTGCAGTGCATTAGAGGGCGATATGACGATATTCAAATAATATTTGACAAATTGGCCAATTATGTTGTTTTATAAACCAAACAGATCCATATTTATTCATATTCATTTTTCTTTCACCATTCCCCAGCCTCTCTTTGTCCTTTAGAACTGACCGGGCTGTTTTCTTTACCGTGCCTTTAATATGTATATGTAAATGATCTGTGCTCTGATTGCCCTGTATTGTACCTCACTCAGAAAGCAGTCCAGGCTGAAACACTGCTTATAACTTCTGTGTGAATAGGCGGAGCTGAACTCCTGTAGGTTGATTTTAGTAGTGGGCGGTATACTGGTTCATCTGATATAAACTCTATATTGGAAGCTTACCTGACGTACAATGGGCCTCATTCACCGAACCGTTTTTAAGAAAAAAATTATTCGTAAAACCCACTGATGCAATTTTCACGAAGATTCTGACATTCGCTTTTTCTTATGACCTTTCTCAAGAACAAATTTAAGAAAAAGCCTAGGAAGGTATTAGGGAATGAGGCCCAGTGCAACACGCTATCATTAGCTGAATGGCTGAAAAGGGGATCATGTTTCAATTGGAAATGAACACACCGCAGACCCTCGATCACCTGCCACTAGTCCGTTTCATCTAAAGTAGTCAGCTTTATTTTCGAGGCAGTGGACTAAAGTTGCAGCCAGTCTTTTGGGGTTAGCCTTAGCCTAAGACGGCCACCTGGGCAATTGCCTTGCTTGTTTCCTCTTTTAGCGCCTAAGAAGCTGCCTAAATCTGTCAGCTGTGTCAGACGACAACACGTCATGGACTAGCTGGTACTGAAGCGTGAATGACTTCAGCAGTGTGTGAGGGTCGGAGGCTCGAGTGTGTGGGATGCACACATGAGACAGATAACTTGAGAAATACGCTGAAGTTTTTTTCATTCAAATTTTCCATTCCTCCAGCAGTTACATTCTGCCACCTGTACAGGAACCTTAATGTAACTGCTGCTTCATTTAAGGTGGAATGGACAATTCAAGCAAAAACTTACCAGATAACTTGTGCCATGGCCAGCGGTGCATTGTTAGAGAGCAATACTGACATAGGTTTGTCTGTGTATTGTTCAGTTTTGTGTTTAGAAATGTTTAAGATTTACTGCTTTCTTTTAATATTTCTTATTAAAAAGTGAAGCAATGTCCCAGAATAATAAGCCACTGTTAACTTGACCAAATGTGGGTTTACTCAAGGATTCAGCACTATGCTGTGAGATATACTGTAACCAAAAATTTAACTTATTCTGTAATATAAATTTTGGGCCATACCGCCCATAACTAGTTCATTTTCACATTGACTTTTGTGACATCATAAATATAGTGAATTCAAAACATCCTGTTTTTGAGGCTCCATAAAGATTGAATGGTACATTTTGAAACATTAACAGTGTTTTACATTGAACATCAAACACTTCAGTGTAAAAAAGCAAGAAAAAACACATTTTTCCACAATATGGGCTCTTTAATGTGTGAAATTACTCATGTCATTACAGTCCTTACACTTAAAAATGCCCAGTCATTATGAGCTCCCAGTACAAGGCAGACTTTGTTCCATTATACCTGTCTTTTTACAGCTTTTCGTAACGGCTGAGCTTTAACACCTGCTCTGACTCACCTGACGTTAAGCGCTTTAATAGCTTCTGACTAATTGAGGTCTTGGCAAGTGGATTAGGGAAAACTACGGTTTAAAATTGTTGTTCCAACAGGAATTTAATGCGGTAACGTTCAGCATGTGTACAGAGAATATTTCACAATGACTTTTTTAATTACACAAAGCTAA